GTGTCAGCCTTGTCATGATAGGTCTCCCCAGACCGACCCACTGGCTGTGAACATTCTAAACTAACACGAGTCTCATTAAGTGTCTAGTTTAAGGGTATTACACAGAAAGGTACCAAGGGAACATGAATCAAATATGCACTTTTATTCATTTACAATAAACTCATAAAGTACATCATTCTGATTGAAGTTAAGGGCATACAAAACTTTCTAACAGGCATGACCTGGATAACCCCCTAAGTTATCCCAAGGGAGGGTGGCACAGCCCAGAATGGCACCACACGACCCACACTTTGCACGGGTCGTGCCATACCAACCTGGCACGACCCGTTTTATACCTCTAATCAAGTGCTCATTTAACTTGCTTACTTCCGTTATAACTATTAGATTTGGTCCCGCTTTAAACATCTCAAAGACATCTCAAAGTTATTAGTGATAAGGATTGGAAGAGTCGGATCCCAACGGATGAGGATAGTAAGAACCTGATTCCAAGTCAATCAAGAAAATCACAATCGGATAGATAACCAAAGCTATCTTTATCTCTCTGTAAAGCTTATCCTGTACAACTGTTAATCTATCTGTACCTGTAATCTGTACACACTATAGCATATATATATATTATATAATACTCTCAACTCATTGATTATTATCATGAGTTCTTTCACAGAAATCTAATTTTCGTTTCATGGTATTAGAGCTAGGATTCATCATGTCAAACTCAACTTCAACATTCCCAATTGCAACCCGGTCAACCAGCACTATTGTAAATTTGAATCTCCCATCTACGGTAAGTCATTTGGTTTCTATTAAGTTAGATCGCACTATCTGTTGTGAAGATCTCAATTTGTTGCTGTGCTCAAAGGCTTTAAAGTTATGAGTTATATAGATGGAACCATTACACAACCCATGAAGGTTATTACTAAGAATGGTCAAAGTATTAACAATCCTGATTTCATGTTATGGGAACATCTGGATCAATTCCTTTTGAGTTGGATCCTCTCCTCTCTTACTAAAGGAGTTTTAGCCCAGGTAATAGGGTATACTACTTCAAAGAGCGTATGGGATGCTCTTGCTCGCCTGTTTGCTTCAAGATCGCAGGCATGCATTATGCAACTTAGGTTTGAGTTGATTCATTTGAAGAAAACAAATTTGTCCATGGTAGATTATCTACAAAAAGCTAGGCTAATATATGATAATCTAGCCGCTGTTGGAGAGTTAGTTTCAAACTTTGAATTAATACAATTTGTCCTAGGTGGCCTTGGCCCAGATTATGAGTCTTTGGTCACTCCATTGCTATTGCGTGTTGGTGAGTACACCTTTGATTCTATTCAAGCTCTACTCACCAACCATGAACTTTGGTTGGAATACACTCGAACTCTATTTGAATCTTTTCAACCACAAACTAATATGGCTGTTCAGAAAAGCTATCAGTCTGTTAGGACTGATGACTACAGAAACAAACAAAAGACTTCTAATGGAAAGGGTAAGAAACTAAATCCCTTTCAGGGAGCCAAATGCCAAATATGTCACAACCTAAACCATACAGCCTACAAGTGTAGAGCTAGGTTTGACAATGATTTTCGTCCAGAAAAGAGCTCTCCTGCTACATATACTGCTTCTATAGGACCAGTGATTGACAACAGTTGGTACCCAGATTCAGGTGCCAGTCATCATATGATAGCTGATCTTGCCAACTTGCACTTGCAATCTGAATACTCTGAACCATAACAAATCACTATTGGAAATGGAGAAGGTTTGTCAATTAAACACACTAGGTCTGCTATTATTTCTTCACCATCACATTCCTTTGTTCTGAAAGATATTCTTCATGTACCTCAGATTTGCAAAAACTTGCTGTTAGTATCTAAATTTGCTAAAGATAACAGTTGTTATTTTGAGTTTCACTCAAACAAATTCTTTGTGAATGATCAGTAAACAAGGAAAGTCATGCTGGAGGGGTGTAGCAGAGATGGTCTCTATGAGTTACAGACGAGAGCAAGTAAAGTATCTAATCCAAGTTCTTCTCTCTCAACATTTCTAGGTATCAGAACTTCGATGAATAAATGGCATGAGCGGTTGGGTCACCACACACCTCGCATTGTGAGGCACGTTCTCAACTCCAGCTCATTGTTGGTATCTACAAATAAAATAATAGATTTTTGCCATGCATGCCCTCTTGGCGAAAGCCATAAGTTACCTTTCTCAGTTAGTGAGTCCTTATACAATGCTCCTTTTGACTTACTATTTTATGATGTTTAGGGAGCATCACTTGTAACTTCAGTCTATGGATTTAATTACTATCTTCTCTTTCTTGATGCTCATTCTAAATATCAATAGATTTTTTCCACTTGTTAAGAAATCAGATGCTATTGACACTTTTGTCAAATTTAAATTGCAAGTTGAAAATTTTTTCAATACCAAGATTAAATCCATTCAAACAAATGGAGGAAAAGAATTTGTCAAATTTAAATCCTTTTTGAACGAATGTGGCATTTTGCATCGTTTCTCTTGTCCTCACACCTAGTAACAAAATGAGCGTGTTGAGAGACGCCATAGGCAAATAGTTAAAATGGGGATAACTTTACTAGGGAAATCTGGTGTCCCTAAGAATTATTAGTGGAAAGCATTTCAGACCTCTGTTTTCATTGCTAATTGACTTCCTACAGAAGTGCTTGCTATGAATTCCCCTTGGGAGGTATTATATCATACTAAACCTAATTATAGCATGTTGAAAGTGTTTGGTTGCACCTGTTATCCTCTTCTTCGACCCTACTACAGGAATAAACTTGAAACTCGTTCTATTGCTTGTGTATTTATGAGTTATCCTAAAGGCTATAGTGGGTACAAATGTCTCCATCTTTCTACAGGGAGAGTTTTTATTTCACGACATGTTCAATTTGATGAAGATACATTTCCCTTCAAGTCTCACTGTGCAACTTCAGTCGCTTCTAACTCTTCTTCATCGGTAAAGAGTTCTACCACATCTATTGGACCTCCTCCTATTGTTGAAGCTTTACTATGTGATACTGTATCAAGTGATAATGTTCATAATTCAGTTGCTTCTCCAATTTCAAGTGATAATGTTCCATCTGCCACACCATCAAGTTGTGATTCAGTTGTTGCCACACCATCAAGTTCTCCTAGTTCTCATTCTGAAGCCACTCATTCCCCTAAGGTTTTTATTGAAAGTGTTGCCTTTATTCCACCACTTGTCACCAATGCACACCCTATGATTACTCGTGGGAAGGCTGGTATTTATAAACCCAAAGTTTATTTTGCCTCTCATCACCCACTAGAAGTCGATGATGATGAGCCAACTTGTTTCAGTTAAGCCAACAAAAGTGCACAATGGTGGAATGCTATGTTAGCAGAAATTGATGCTCTTCAGCGAAATGGAACTTGGACTCTTGTTCCTCACACTGATGATATGAATCTCGTTGGATGTAAGTGGGTTTTCAAAACCAAGAGAAACCCAGATGGCTCTATCAACCGTTATAAGGCACGACTTGTGGCCCAAGGTTACAATCAATGACCTGGGATTGACTTTATTGAAGCATTTAGTCTAGTTATAAAACCAACAACTATACGCATTGTTCTTACCATTGCTTTGGCCAATAGTTCGACTATAAGGCAACTTGATATTCAAAATGCGTTTCTTCATGGAGATCTTGAAGAAAATGTTTACATGAAGCGACCTCCAAGCTTTGTTGATCAAAAGTTTCCTACTCTTGTCTATCATTTACATGGGTCTCTTTATAGGTTAAAACAAGCTCATCGGGCTTGGTTTCAGAAGCTTAGTACACTCTTACTTCAGGCTGGTTTTCAGGCATCAATAGCAGATACTTCTTTATTTATATTTACATCTCCTTTGTGTGTTATGTTTATACTCATCTATGTCGATGACATCATTATCATTGGTTTAGATTCTACTGTTGTATCAAATCTTATTGCTACCATGAGCACCTCCTTTGCTGTTAAGGACTTGGGTCCTTTACATTTTGTTCTGGGTGTTGAAGTGGTTCGCAGCTCCAACAACATTATTTTGTCTCAAAAACAGTATATAGTGAATCTTCTTTAGAAAGCTCACATGGATGGCGCAAAACCTTATGGAACTCCCATGGCATCCACTTGTAAACTTCAATAGCACACTGGAAAAGCTCTTCCAGGTCCCTCTTTATATAAGAGCACTGTGGGTGCTTTGCAGTACTTAACCATAACTCGTCCTGACATAGCCTTTTCTGTCAACAAGGTATGTCAGTACATGCATGCCCCTACTACTGAGCATTGGAGTGCAGTCAAGCGCATACTCAGATATTTGAAGCACACTATTAATTATGGGTTTCGTTTGCTTGTTGCTCCTTTGGCTTCTCTTCACCTTCATGCATTATCAAATGCTGATTGGGCAGGTTGTTTGGATGACAGAAGGTTTCAGGGTGGTTTTTGTATCTATGTAGGCCCCAATTTGATCTCATGGTCCTCTAGAAAGCAAGCTATCATTTTCCGGTCTAGTACTGAATCTGAATATCAAAGCATAGCCTGTGCTACTTCAGAATTACTTTGGCTCCAATCTCTCCTTCGCGAACTTGTTATCCTTCCTATTTCTCCTCTTGTCCTCTGGTGTGATAACCTTGATGCAACATATTTAACTGTAAATCCTGTTTTCCATGCTTGCACCAAGCATATAGAAATCGATTACCACTTTGTTTGGGAGCAATTTGCTCGTAAGGCCTTAGTTGTTCATTTTATCTCTAGTACAGATCAGCCAGTAGACATTTTTACAAAACCACTCAGCTCTTCCCAATTTTCTTTCTTGAGGAACAAGCTGATGGTGCATCCTCCCCCCATCTGCTTGCGGGGGGATGATAAAGATAGGAAGAGTCTGATCCCAACGGATAAGGATAGTAAGAGTCTAATTCCAAGTCAATCAAATAAATCATAGTCGAAAAGATAACCAAAGCTATCTTTAACTCTCTGTAAAGCTTATCCTGTACAGTTGTTAATCTATCTGTACTTGTAATTTGTACACACTTACAACATATATATATATATATATACAGTCTCTCACATCTAGTAACAGTCTTCGGTTAAAGCCAAGACATGTTTCAACTAGTAAACATTAAAGCCAAGACATGAGCTTCAAAAGCTGCCCAAGCTTTAGTGACATTGACGGAACAAGCCCTTCTACACTTGTTACGGAGGGTTAGGATCTAGCCCAGCTCATCCCTCCCAATACAACCAATGGTTGAATGCTCATCATTTCTCGAAGCATCAAAATTAATCTTGATATAAGAAACTATTGGAGACTTCCATTTGACCAAGATGGTAGAAGGCCACTATTGATATTAAGATTGCATGACTTAAATTCCAGGGCTTCCTTTCTTGTTTTATGATTTTATCCCAAATTAACACAAGAGGAAAGGGGTGTTTTTAAATACTTTTTCATTCCTATTTTTCCATGATTGCCACACCAGACAGGCCACTAGCTCTCTAAATATTCTATCTTCTATATTTTTCAATATAAACACTCCATTCCACCAATCGAGAACTGATTGATCACCAAACTTAGCCAAAAACACCACCCGCCATCCACACTTGTTTGGCAGTCACACATCTTAAGAAAATGTGATTACCGTATTCGCTTTCTCCATAAAAATCACAACCCCCATCAACATTCAGACCATTTCGTCTCAAGAACAGCTTGGAAGAATTTTTGTTTTGGAAGACCAAATACAAGAAGTATTTTTTGCTTCGGAGGGCACTTTAGTCCAAATTTTCTTTAACTCTTGATGCATCATAGAGGGGTTAGCATCATGCACAACTTGGATCGCATAGGAAGTCTTAATTGTAAACTCACCCTTTGGGTCGGGTTTCCAATAGATAGAGAATCTGCATCTAAAGAGCATTGTCTATGAATCCTATATTTGCATCTTCTACAGCTTAGCAATAAAATGATTGATAAATATTCCTAGAAAAAAATGATTGATAAATATGAGTCTTGACTTTGGATGTTTCCTACCATAGTTAGACAAAACCATCCGACTTTCTCTTGATTTTTATATATAAATACCAAATCTTAAAAACATTAAGCCCTTAAATACAAGGTCTTTAAAACCGGATTGGACAGGGAACCATTCTAGGTGCAGTTTCTGTATCGAACGACCCAGCCTGCTTTGACAAAAAAATTAAAAAAATAAAAAAACAAAAACGACAAAAAATTATTGTCCAGTTCAATGGTTTGATTGCTTGGGTCAGCGATTCGCTGACCAAATCAACAATTTTTTGCCAAAGAATAGTTTTGGGGTAAATCGAAACCAGTCAGGTGACCGGTTCCCAGTTTTTCCAGTCCAGTCCGATTTTGAAAACCATGCTTAAATCTTAAACTCTAAACCCTAACTCTAAACCTTAAATACTAAAAACTATTTTTTTTATGAAACAAAGAGGTGCTAAAACTTAAACTTTAAACCCTCAAAAGCTTAATCTTGAACCTTAAACCTTTTTTTCTTTTGATTTCCTAAACCTTAAATCTTAGACTCTAAACCCCAATCCTAAACCTTAAATAATTCTAAAACCTAAACTCTAATCCCACGAACCCTAAAATTTAAGAGTAAAATGCATTTGGTAGGACAAATATCCTCCTCCTAGGTAGGACCCAATATTTTCTCAAGTCTTCAGACCACCTAAAAGATAAAGGACTCCAATAGATGAAATGATTAAGATCATTGATTTACTCTTTCTCCCTCAGTCTCTCTCTCTCTACTGATGTGGACATCTAAATATGCCACCTCAGCTTATTGTTTAATAACTAAATATTCAAGTAGGCGGTCCTACTTATTGCTCTTTTTGAAAAACCTAGCCATATTATTAGGGGTGAGCATTCGGTTTATTCAGTTAAAAACCGAATCGAATAAACCGAAATTTTTAAAATCAAAATTAAAAAAGAAAAACCAAACCGAAAACTGAATTATAAGAAAACCGAAATAATTGAACTGAAATATTCTCTTCGGTTTTCAGTTATTTTGGTTAAAACCGAATTTAATTAAAATATACATAATATTATATATTATAACCTATAATATATATATATATATAATATACTATGAAACTTAATTTCATTATAATACATTATATATACTATATTAATATATAAATATATAGCATATTATATTAAATAATAGATTGTATATTATATATTATATATCATATAAAAAATTTTAGTTAATTCAGTTTTTCTGGTTAACCGAATTTTTAAACCTGAAAACTGAAACCGAAAATCAAATTACCTAAAAACTGAATTAACCAAGAACTAAAAAAACCAAACCTAAAAATCCAAAACCGAAATTTTTTATTCGATAATTCGGTTTTAACCGAATAATGCTCACCCCTACATATTATCAAGTGGGCAAAGGACCAAATCAAGAAAGAGGCATGCCAAGGCCCACCACCACCAATGTACATGTCAAGACTCTAGAGAATATGGAAAGGTAGGAGCCCTTTCTTTTGGGAAAAAAATATATTAATTATGTCCAAGTTAATCACTGATCATGAAGTATGAATTCCATCTTATCTTTTTTCCCTCATCTAATATCTTTTGATGTTGATATTGGCATGGAATATTAAGGAAGATGAAACATGCATGTCGCTTCTATTTATTTAGCTGCCTTTGTTTCGTTTTTCTTTTTCTTTTCTTCTTCTAGTGCTAAATTGGGTGTAAATTCTCTTCTCCCTATACCTTTATTTCAAATAAATAACATACAGCAGGGACCACATTATTTGTATGTCTGTAAGGCTCTGTTTGTTTGCAGTACAAAACTGTTTTTTTTATTCTTGTATGATGCAAAATTTGCATCTTGTCTTATTTGCATTCATTGGCATTGCAAATTTTATATCCTGAAAAATTGATAGTGATTTTACACCATGCTTTTCTAACTTTAATTCTTCCTCTTATTTAAAGTGAAGACCACAAAATTTTACTTTTTATTTTGTTCCACCCAAGCAAACAACCTCCCTCCTACTTTCATTCTCCTTCACATGAAGTAAAAAGAAGGATCACATCATCTTACTTTTCATTTTACTCCTCACAAACAAACAACACAAAATGAAACTTGAAGCAAAACGAAACAGGAATTCTAACTCATCCCATCTGCACTATCATGGATTTACACCAGTGTAAATTTCAAGAGGATTTCCTCCCTATTCCCAGATAGCTGACTGTGTCTGATCAGTTTTCAGAAGTAGTATTTGGAAAATATGAGATGGACTAGGGCCTGGTAGGTCTATCCCCAAGCCAAACAGCTAGCCATACAAATATTGTAATTCAAAGAAAACCTATTCTGCTGCTGTGTCATCAAGATTCAGTACTTCTTGTTTAGCAGAGAAGAAGCGTTATTTTACTCCCTCCATATCTCTCTGAGAAGTGAGAATGCAAATTTGCAATATATATGTGGAACTTCATTGTGCACACGATCACATCATGGTGCACTATATATAATAAAACAATAAACAACTTCCTTTTCCGAATCGTAATCACACATGAAATAAGAAGTTGAGAAGTCGCATTCACACATGCATGCATCAAAATGGATCCCAGTCAGCACCACTTTATCCACCATACAATGACACATTCTATTTATGTCAATCTCTAATACGTGGCTAATAGTTAGCCAACGCAGCACCTAAATGGATAATACAAATGTAATGTCTTCCACACGTGGCACACAAATAACAAATTAAAGAAACCAACTAAGAAGAAGAGTGTAATATATATATATATATATATATATACCTCAACGTAACTGGGCTGGTCAGTTGAACCAGATCCAGACCGGTTTAATGGATGGTCTAGCGGTTTTGAGGCTGCTGGATGAACCTAGAATTGGGATAAACATGGAAAATTTCACCATAAAGGGGAATGTTTTTGTTGACTATTTCCATTCTTTGCTGTGGATGAGACTCAGCTCATTTTCAAAAGCTCAAACGGTCACCAAGTGGCAATAAAAAGAGATGAGATGCGAACCTTTTTCCACTTTTCCTTGGGAAAAAAGTTAATCATTTATATCCAGTCCTGAATGCTTTTTATGTAGTGGGGCACTTCCAATTTCCAAATTTCAATGATGCTTTGGATTTTTGTTCCGGTTGACATCAACCGGACGAGGATGAGAGGAGAATCCATTGATATTGATATGGGCTTTCAATGTCGGAGCTGGAGGGCTATACCTATCACCTGTGCTTTCCATTTATCCAATTTGCTTAGTAAAGCCACTGTGATTAATATATAGCACTTAGCAGATGCAATTATCCAACTACAACGATGGCCGGCTAAAGACCTGAAGTCTTGGATTTTAAAATAACTTGGCAACCTTATTTTAGCCCATCTTCTTTTTTTTTTTTTAACCCAACTCTCTAGGAATCATGAAGTGTGTGTGGGGCCAAAGTTTTTGTCCACTTGGCAACTTTATTTTTAGCCCGCCTCTGTCGCCTCTGTCTCTGTCTGGTGGGCTTGGAACTTGGAGGTTGGAATCATCCGAGGCAATCAAAACCTAACAGTGAAAGATGTGGTGTTTCGTTAACTCTTTTGCCTTTCAACTTTCAACAGCCAAAAGCAAAATCTTGGCTTTATGGTCTTTCGATTCAAGTTTTTGGCTTCAAAGTAATATGTTTTTGCTTATTTGCAGCTCCTATACAGTAAATTATCTTTTATTTGCATAAAATTGTTTCTTGTTGATTTTTAACTTTTCAATTAGATTTCTATTTATAAATAAAAATTGTCTTTTTTTAAGCCCTAAGGCAGTATATTCAACAAAGCAAAGTAAAGCTACATCAGGGAGCGATGTCCGAATGGCAAAGTTAGCTAGCCCATGGGCTCTGAGTTTGTAGTTGGATGCCCAGTTCCATGGGCCTGAAATAATTCCTGCCAATTAAAGATAGTAGTCACATGGGAATTGATCCAAGCAACAACTTGAATAGGAGAGAAGACACCATTATCAAAGAATACTTTGTTCCTCGCCGTCCAGATGTACCACATCGTCCTAAGGCCTTTGAGAAGAGAATAGGAATTCTCACCGTTCATTTTATTTGATAAAGTGAATAAGGAAGTGCATATAAACCAGAATAAGCTAGGCCCAGTCTCACCCACTGTGAGAATGGCTTGGGCCGCAACTTCAGCCATGGTAGGGCTGCAAATGGTAACTATTTATCCAAATTTGAGTTTAAATTTGATTCCGTTAAGGGTGGTCCAAATTCAATCCATTTATAATTGAATTGAATATGATCGAAATATGGATCCACCCTTCACGGATCTAACATAATCTGATTCAATTCAATATGAATGTACATATTTATATATATACTTTAGAATTTTCACTCCATCTAGTACTAGTAGTACATTTGGTTCCCATTTATTTTATTTGAATTGTTTTTATTCTTTTGCTACTCTTGATAAAGCACATTTTTATCACCACTTATGCCCATCAGCATGTAGAAGTCAATCCTCACCATGATCAACAATATAGCTTGCTGCTTGCCATGGTTGGTTCAAAAGGTTGTTCATTCTTTTACTGCTGAGCCTCTATCAAAATTGATCAATTCTACAAAGTTTTGCTACATTTTGATTAGAGCCTTATGGCTGCTGGAGATTTATTTCTGGTTGAAGCTGCTGTTGCTATCATCAATCTCTTCATATATAAGTTGGAGTTTGCAAGTTGAAAATCCTTTCAACCCATATAATCTCTGGCACTACAATTTCTACCCAATGGGCCTTTAGGCTTGTGAGAGTCACTCTATTAAGCTCATCATAAGCCATTTATTTGTTTCATAGATGCCCCACCTGTCAAGGCCACACCAGACCCCAAAGTGCCCATTTTTTATTGGATTTTGTTGAGCCATTGTTGTCTTGTTTCATCCATGGAGGTTGTTCTATTTCAAACTTGGAATGATAAAACAAACATGCCACTTGATATAGAACTAAGACTTGAGTAGGGATGGACAGACCATCGGAAAATTGGAAATGAGATTTGCCCAAACAGAAATCTTGGGCATACCATGTGTCCTACTCCTTGGGCTACCAATGAAACAGGTTCCTGAATAAATAAGATATATTACCCAGAAGAAAAATGAATAAATGGGATATCTCAATGAGAGGGTTTACTTGTCAGTAGCAAAGAAGACATTTTTGGCTGCCCAAGAAAATTACAGCAAAGGGAAAATGTTTCTTCACCAATCGATAAATAATTAAAATAATTTATGGCAATAACCTACATAGATATACACATCAACCACTTTAAGACTTGGGTATAGACCATTCCAGAAGCAAGCTACACCCTTCCCAAAGTACTCGTAATCATTTACATTAGTGTATCTGAATTAAGAGTAGCTTCTTACCCCCCAAAAAAAAACATTTAAGAGTAGCTTTTGAACTAACAACCTACTAATGTAATCTTAATAGATCATTTTGCCAATGTCTTCTTAGAAGTTAACTTTGAATAACAAGGATCACCTACCAGTTTTTAAAACCAAATCCAATCCATAGGAAGGATTAACAGAAGCAGTTGCCTCGTTCTCTACCCAAATACCTCCTCACCACAGACTGGACATGCCTGCAATTGAGCAAAAAGAAAACATGTAAAAACATTAAAGCCCTGGTAAACAAATGGATGAACCTCTATTCAGAAAATGATTGGAAGTTGCAGGAATAGAGATTTAAACATACAAGTGATTAAAAAAACTATGGAATTACATTTGGAATAATTCAAATAAATTCAGAGTGCACAATGCTACATATCATTATCACAGTATTTTTTCATGTTCAATGCTTGTGTTAATGCTGCAATCATGAAGTTTACATATTTTCCTTAGGAACATTCAAGGTCAAAAAACTTGAATCTTAAGCCTGAGCTGTGGCAAGATTTTTGCACTCACATTATCCAATCCTAAGACTTATTTAGCATCATGGATAAGCTGATGCCCTATCATATTAATAACTTAGGATCTATAGACAAAACAATGTCATTATATGATGGATTATCAAGGACTATAGTGTAATCAGCATTTCTATTTGTTTCTAATCTTTTGTTCTTTCTTAATTTCTAATGAATAAACATTTATTAATTGTATGACCTTACAATTGAAGTCTAATTTCTATGTGAAATCTCACTCATCATTACTTTTTTTTGTTCCAATCCAACTTTGATATGTATATATTCTGCACACATCTAGCAGAAACAGCATGGTGCATTCTTCCATTTCTGTGGGATTTAATTGCAAGTTAATTAAATACCCAAGCAGAAGATTATTATGAGAAAACATATTCATGAACTATGAATATCTAAATAACATATTCAACACCTTGAAAACCTTGCATTATAGGAACTATAAACAAAAAGGGAAATTAACAAAAGCAATCATCAAATATAAGAATGAAAAACATGACAATGATGATATGCCAATCACCCTGCAGTATCTGCTCTACCATGGGAGGACAAAGGTCATGTTACTTGGAAAGGGAAAACATCCTAATTTGCATTGTTTTGTCAACAAGTAAAAGAAATTATTGTGCATAGGCAATGTAAATTACTTTTTTGAGCTTCAACCACACTGTGATGCACTTTGAGTGATATTGGTGCTGGCATGGCAAAATCGTCAACTTTTCTCGGTTTTTGTATTCCATATAACAGATCACACACCTGCAAGCAGGAAAAAATCAGGAGCAAGGAAGAGATATTTTCTTTCTTGAAATATCAACGGAATCAAGCAGAAAAATGCTTTGAACATTTGGTAAGATTTTAAAAGAACCGAATCCTTAAGCTTATCCAAATGAAACCTTAATCAACACACTGAAAGATCTCTCACCCAGTTAAGAGTTGTATATACTAGAGAAATAGAAAATTAAATTTGACCTCATTCTTGGGGAAAATATTTTCACTGTATTCATAACATTGAGAAGCGAAGCACAGTCACTTGATTTTGACCACACATAAGGATATCAGACTCTACAAATCCCTTGAACAATAATATTCATTAAAAAAAGAAGAAATAGAAATTCTTATTGGTCTACTCAAAGATATGTGTCCCCTAGAATGAAAAGAAAAATTCCATGGTAATGAAAAAAAAAAGAAAAGGATCTTACTGCTCATGCTTGTCTTTTCTTGAGAAAAAACAACCTGTTTTGTATTTGATTGATGGCAAGTAGTCAATAAGCTCTTCTGATAATCCTCTGCTCTCAGTGCCAATTGCTTCTCCTAGAGATTGTAATTCCTGAGAGAGGAAACATGTCCTAACAGATTGATATTATCAACATAAATATAACAGCAGAAAGGATGGTTCCTATCATACAGGTAAATTTTAAAAGAATGTCGTAAGGTGATAGAACAACAATGTTTAGTAAATGATGGATAGTCCACACTTAATAAGTTACGACATACATTAGTTTTGTAATTCCTAGGCAATTTCTATCCAGAACAAATTCAGGAAATTCCTCAATGGACTTTATTAATGGTTTGGTGGGTGAAAATTGAACTACATCTGTAGTATCAAATAAAAAAAAAGGACATTCAAAATCTCGTTCCACTAACATTTTGCAAGGACAACTTGGATGAATGAGCTTTTCTTGAAGTATTTAATATAGTTGATGTAGTCCCAATCTAGTCCTAAGCTTTAGCCTGACTGGACAGTTCCAGCCATCTCCTGGGTCCTAAGCCTTCAAATCCCCCTCACTAAGGGCCAGTGGGCCTCTTAGCATGGCCCATGTTTGAGCCTGGTCTTGAAATCAGATTGGAAGAACCTCAAAAATAATATTCCAGGAATGTGCTATAAGATATATATATATATATATTTTTTTTTTTTATTTGTTGTTTTATTAGATAGTTTAGGAGAGATTGAGGAGGATGTTGCTCATAGAATTAGGGCAAGATGAGAAAAATGGAAGGGTACATCCGGAGTTTTATATGATAGGTGTAATACCACTTTGACTAAAGGAGGATTCTATAAAACAGTTGTAAGGCCAGCCATGTTGTATGCAGCAGAGTGTTGGGCAGTTAATAAACAGCATGCCCAAAAAATGAGTGTGGCAGAAATGCAAATGCTTAGATGGATGAGTGAAACTAGAAAGAACATGGTTAGAAATGAAGTCATACGAAGAAACCTAGGTGATAAAATTAGAGAAAGTAGATAGAGATGCTTTGATCATGTACATAGAAGACCATCTACAAAACCTATTAGGAAAGTGATTTGTTACAAGTTGAAGGGAATAGAAGAGCTAGGGGCAGACCGAAAAGAAATTGGATGGAAGTAATAACAAATGACTTAAGTGCTCATAATTTAAATATGGATATAGCACTGAACAGAACAGAATGATGAAACAAGATTTATGTAGCTGAATCCATATAGTTGGGACAAGGCTTAGATGATGATTTTATTAGATAGATTGACTATAAAGTAAGGTCAGGATTTCTTATCTCTCTATAAATACATGTTATCCCTTTTCTTTTCAAAGTTAATGAGTGAATGAATTTTGAGTGAAATTTTTTTTCTCTGCAATTCTTGGAGTTTGTACACTGAGTAGTCCTCTCTCTCTCTCTCTCTCTCTCTTCCTGGTTTTCTTTGCTTTCAATGAAACTTCAAGGTGCCCACAAACCTCATTCCTCAGGAAGTATGCTGAACCAATACTTTTGAAATTATTAGTTTCAAAAAAAAATGTAAAAATGACATAGGTCACTGTATTTCGGGGCAAAACTGCCATAGCTCATATAAGGGATGCTAGCTTAATCACCTCACCTCTGACTTGTTAAGACAAAAGTTGGTATGACAGGACTTTGTCATGTTAAATTAACTTGGAAAGATAGATCTGGTAGTATCCCAAACTATGATATCAGGATACCTGTACAGCCTAATATATGAGTGTCTGGCACAATATATGCCTAAGACAACACTGGAAATGATTGGACACATCTAGATATACTCTATAGCATTTAAATTTTTAAATATGTGAAATGATATATTTTGGTGGCCCTCACAGGGCTTCGTGTTGCAAAATTATTAGGCATTTCATGTCTAGCCATTGAGGGTGCTTCTGCCAATACTATAAGATGGCTAAAGGAAAAAAGATGGAGGGGCTTGGAGATTAGCGCATTTTCTGGCAGAAGCATAGAGACATTGGACTCAATGAATGTGAAGTTGAGTTGGAGCCCGAGGGAACAAAACTCTCTAGCAGATGGTCTAGCTAAATCTGGTGCTCATAGAGATTTCTTGTTTAGTGACAGTTTTCTGCCTCTGTAATTTCTGCTTTCTTTGCTTTGCTTCTTGATGTACATCTTTTCATTCAATAAAATCACAGTTACTTTTTCTGAAAAAAAAAAGGATCAGTATATATTGGATATATAATTAAATATGGTTAGGCATAAGCCTTCAGAAATGACATGTAACTTCAAAATTAGATATAGAAGCATGATATAAGCATATCATATGGGATCCTCATCCCCATATTGCTGTCCAGAATTTTAGGGTATAGAGATCCCCACATTGATGACCATTTCAGTATCCATATCTGGGTATCATAGACCCCAAAATTGCATAAACAGTGCAAAAGAATTGTGATGAAAAATAAACATATGCCATGTTTATTAACAAAGCCTGTTGTTCATTAACAAACTCACCTCATATGCCATGTTATCTGGGTCCACATTATCTTGTCTCAAAGCCTGTTGTTCAGCATAGGGAAAACTTTGGTTCATATATGTGAGTCACCATGAACTTTAAAAATGTAACCAAACAGCAGTTAATAGAACAATTATATGATAGATTACCAGTGCAGTGGAGTTTGCCACGGGATTTTCTTCTCTATGGACTGCAGAAGATAAAATAGCTATTATTTTTTTTAATCACTGACACACACACACACAAATCCCCCCTAAAAGAGCCACTACAAATATAACATACATCTCTCATATTTAATGCATCCAAGTTGCTGGAATGGACGAGCAAATTCATGAAGAAAAGGGTATTTGAGAAGCATTAAAAGCTAAAGTATGATTATCTTTGTTTTTTTATTGGTCACAGTCAGAAGTTTTATTAGATAGTGTAGAAAAAGAATTATGTACAAGAAAAGTGCCGAGCACCCTGTTTTGGCCTATCCCCTAGCCACCCAACTTCTTTTGTATGCAGTTATTTTCACACTATATATTCCCCATCCGTCCCCAAAACAAATTTTCTGAATTAACCACCTTTTTTTCCCATAGCATCAGCCAGACCATTGGTTGATCTATATGTCCAGTGATGTGAATCTCCATGTCCCTTGTCATCTCACTTATTTCGATCATAATATTCCTGCATGGCTATGGGAATCATACCTCCTGTTTCAGACAGTGAACCACCACTTTGGAGTTTCCTCCCACTACCAACCTTGCGTAGTTTAAATATTCTGCTAGCCTCAATCCTTGTAGTGTTTCCAATATTTCCACCCATGTGGAATTTCCATGACCCACCAGGCCTGAAAATAAAGTATGATTACCTTTTCAAGAACCACATCTCTTAAGGGGTTAAATTATTAAGGTGTTTATCTCAGCATGACTTTTTTCTTGTATTTGACAAGTAAAGAAGATTGATAAAGAGAATACTTAAAGGATGGTAATAACAAGAGGATCTGTTAAAATCACAAAAGAGAGTGAAGGCTACAGAGGTACTACATGTATGCTGTTAATGTAATGAATTCTTTAGAAAACATGATACAATAAATGCACCCATTGATTTGGTGAAATTTTCAGGCTCTAATAGGTTAAGGAAAATGCCAAAATGAAGTATATCCATGGAAGCTCAAAACTAATGGGTTTGACCATGCCAATTGTTGGCAAAATACTTTTGTTGCATCATAGTTGCTTAAAGCTTAAAGCTGAAGTTATCAAAAGATCTTGGAATTTAGCATTACTACACATGAACAACAATAAAAACTAAGGAGTACACACTTCGATATTCAAATATTTTCTTTAAATTTCTTCTCTTACTACACTTTATACTTTTTATTCAATACAATATTTGTTTATCATCATGTCCTCATGATGTGATTTTTGGAAGTTACCATGCCAGACACTTTTGGGTACCTAAATACTTGGCACCCTGCCACATGTGGGTTGTAGTGAGGAATGACCTAAGAACTTATGATCTTACAGAGTGAGAAGGTGGATTATGGTAAGTTTAGCTGATTGCATATAGTCCTGTTAAGGCTTAGTTGAGATGAATACAAGAGAACCTCCGTAAACCCTATCAGAAAGGCCCAAGATGGCAATCTTTCCTTGTTGTCCTTGTTAATTGTTCAATTGATTGGTGACATTAGCAGAATAAAATTTAATAAGGAATTCTGCATAGTCTAGGGGTTCCACTCTTTTATCTAGAAGACAGAAAGGTACTAAAAGTGAGACAAATAGCCCTTGTTGCTTGCTATTTGGTTTTCATCATTAAAGACAATTTACTGCAAGAAACAAAATCTTCAAGCATGAGAAACAAACAACACAGATTAGACAAATTGAGGAAACCTTCCAATGGCTTATATCCAAAAATAACGAAGTGAAGAAACCTCTATAATTGAAAAAAAAAAATGAGAAATTTGCAAGCAATTAGGAATTCAACAGTTTCATCTAAATCATCTATAGTATAAAATCTGTAGAAGAAAAAAATGATTAACCAGAAGCCATTTTAAGCAACATAAGGGCTCAAAGAGAAGTCATCAATTTATGAACCAAAGGTTGAGAATAGAACAGGAGAAGCTTCTTGTGGGTAAAGATGTTTGGACTTTGGAGCCAGCTGTTATGGATAAATATAAATGAATTATTTATTCTTGGGCTTCTATCTAAGAGGAATTGGGGCCCTGCACTTAAGAACTGCTCAAGTGATTGGAAAAGAGTCATTTTTCTTCAAATGCTGAACAGTTGTATATGGTGTACATGAGTCAGTGTGAATTAAGAATGTAATCCTTTTATATTTCTCTATCTCTACCAGACCTTTACTATAGATCCAATTATAATTTAGCTATTAGAAGGGAAAAAAATAATGAAACTGACATCAGCTGCTGCGGTTGCGAAAATTCCAATTATTAATCCCCAGAAGCAGCAGCAATTGGAAGCATGAAATCCAGGTCTACATAGGTATGGTAACACAATTTTTTGGCATAATACAACTGATAAAATAGAGGAATAAAAAAAATAATTCGGGCATTGAGAAACTATTTCATCAAATAGAACAGTTGGGTGGGAATTCTTCCTCCATACCAGTTTCTGTTTCAGTAGTTTCATCTAAGGAGGCAGCAAGAAGCTGGTGGTCCTCTAACACCTGCAAGGTTCTAGCTAAAGCTTCATCCAAAGCTAATTGTGACTCAATGACCCCAACACGCGAGGATTCTCCCTCCTCAGCACCTTGATCATGATGGGGCTCAGAATTATTAATTGCAGAAGCACTTGCTCTGTCCTTATTTTCTGTTTGGAGTGACTGATACACAGTTTCCTACACCATAATTAGTTACCATTTCTCATTAACCCCTTCAATTAGTAAAGGATCATTAATACCAACAATTCGTATTGCCCTGCTATTAATATATAGCTTTGCAAAATTCTTGGTTACCTGATGGAAGAGCTCATCGAGAGAGAGACCGCTGTTTTCAAGGTAGTACCCTTCGAAATTCTCTACTATGCCCGTAACGCCGGAATTTACGTAATGGACATCCACCTGCCGAGTCCCCATTGTTTCAAAGGTGACCTTCATGCAGATTTCTCCCGCCGGGAACCACAGTCACAGGCACAGAGCCCTTTGTTCCTTCCAGATGGAGATAACCTTCAACCCTCTAATCTCCTTCACTGTTTATCAGCCTGCAAGTATCAGTCCACCACGGCTAAAAATATAGGTAAAAATAAATAAATAAACTGCAAATTCCAAAAAGATTAAAGATTCACCAATTAGGAAAGCAACCATTCTAGCTTGTTACCACCTAATCATCTCTGGTTTTTTCTTGATTGGTGGACTTGATTTCCACGCAACGCAACCTTTTTGTCTTCTTATTAGGCACAGACTGGACTGACCAAGTCATGAATGGAGATGGCTTCGTCATCTATGATTGAAATAAGATGACTGAGACACAGACTGACTGAAATGCATAATATCATTCTCTACAAGAATTATGGTGAATAAGTTGGGAATAAATTTATCCAAAATTCCTTGTCATGTAACTATCCATTCAAATCCATTAACACGACTACAAGTAGAAGCCAATATTCTTCTTTACTTTTACCTAACAAAGAGGAGTTGCCTGCAAATTATATGAAAAGATAAACCATGTCCAAAATACATAGAGAAAACCAAATGTAAAAAAGAAAATTTAAATGGGTTGGTTCACTTGAAGAGAGAAAACGAAAATTGACTGTAGATTCCATGAAGATGATCCAGTGGGTAATAGGTTGTCTACTACTACTCGTCTACTCCCTTGCCTTGCCTGTCAATTCTAAGCCGAGTTATGATTATGGAGTAGTGGTTAATAATTTAATGCATGGAATGGTGACAAAAGACAACGGTGGCGGGCCACTGGACTGGACTTTTGAAGAATGTATCAAAATCTAATCTCCTTTTTGGCCTTCCTCCTCTCTCACGATGTTTTCATCTTACTGGGTAAAGTAAAAGGATGAGAAAAAGTAAGAAAAAATGTTTTCATGGTGAAGTAGATTACAATTGACGACGGCAGCTTCGCAGTTGGGAATGAAGTATGAACTATCTATCAACTATGTAGGGATGAGGGTCACATGCATACACTACACTGATGTCACGGAATTGGAATTGGAGGTATACAAGTAAAGATGATTAAGACCACATAATTCCATAAAATTAATAACTCTTTTCTTTTCCTCTGCAGACTTCCTAAATTCTAATGCGACCAGTCTGTGGACTTTTTGAGTTAACAACCCGTCATGGCGTCATCAACCCCACCACCTTTCCACGTTCAATAGAAAAGCAATGGCGGTGTGTAAAGATTTCCATCGAAGGATTTTGGTACTAATATAGTGTTGTTAGCTTAATTTAAGCCTTGCATAATTAAAATATCTCTCTCTCTACAGCTGTCCAGCGGACATGGCTCCCCATCGAGATACCAGTGAATGAAATCCAAAAAGAAAAAACAGGGGCCATAAATTGTGTTTGGTGATGCGTCACCTACACTTTTAATTTGTTGTTTGTCTAGCCCACACCTCAAACAACGATACAATCCACTCGTTATCGCGGCTGCAATCAAAAACTCTCCACATTCTATCAAAGCTGGGGCATCCAGTAAGCTTTCGTATTACTAAGTCATATTGTTGTCTTGTGTAACTTGAGTGCAGATAGTTTAATTGGGTTTTGATGAAGGGAAATTTGGCCCGATCTCGCAATCGCCCGATACGTGGCAAAGGTAAGCAACTCGGGATAGTAGAGTGCCCGAAGCGAACATCGGAAGCAAGTCCAAGTTCACTACCGAGCCCGAATTCCAGACCGCTCTACTGAGTCCGAGCTCCCTACTAGGAGCCCGAGCTCCCTGTTAAGAGCAAGCTCCCTGTTAAGGGTCCGAGCTCCCTAAGTAAGA